GCTCGTAGCCCACAACGGACTGCAGAGCCCCCCAGCAGCACAGTGCAGCCCCGGCCATGTGGGACTCAGTGCCATGCAACGCCACACCAGCCCGACCTGCTAGTGCATGCCCTTGGGCAGAAATGGGCCACTCCTGCTGTCACCCAGGGCCCCAGCACTGTACGCAGGGGACACACACCCTCATGCCTGGCCGGGTCCTGCTTCCTCAGGTGTTGTGGTAAGGTAAGTGCAGTATTGGCATTTAAATGTGGGGTGGCTGGGGTATAGAAGGAGGCTTCTGGGCAGGAGATTGAGAGAGAAGAATTTGCCATTCAATTTTCAATTTAGCATTTGTCTATGCTGTAAACCTAGAGGTGTGACGACCACACGTGTAGACAAACCCATGTTAGTTTTAAACCCATGCTGAGTTAGGTAGGAGTACCAGTGTAGTTCCTGTAAGGCTATAGAGTAGGCTTCACAAACCATCCAGGCCACTAGGCATATGCTTGGCGCTCCACTACACTGCCTGCAACTACTGCTATTTTTATATGACCTAGATAGTTTCAAGTTAGCTCAAGGTATGTCTACATTAGAGCTACAATTGTATCTCTGGATAATTAAAGGGAATATGTCAGTCAACTGGTCTTATTTCCAAGTACGGCAAATCACACTGTGAACGACATTTTGTCAGACATTTTGAATGAAAACCTGCAGGTTTCACAAAGCCCTTTAATAAGGACATGTTTAGTGTGTGATTTTTATTTTCTGTGTTATCTGTGCTTGCAGTAACAACATAATGATTACAGCTGGACTTTTGGAGACACCAAAATTATTCACAAAATTGGATCTAATTCAGCTAATGATTTCAAAGGAAAAATAATGGGGCATTCTTGAAATTTCAAAAATTTCTAAATAGAATATTTCCTTCAACAGAATCAATGTGTCTTATTTTGTCACCTTCAACATGAAGTTTTCTTTACCTTTTCATTTCAAAAGACCATTTTCCATTAAAAATTTGACTGAATTTTTATAATAGAAAATACTTCCCAAAATGAAACAAAATATTTCTTTTGTTTTGGATGAAACATAACCTTCTGGGTTGACTCAAAACAAGCTTTTGTTGTTGCTGCTCAAATACCACTATTCAAAAACAATTATTTCAGTCTGAACCGTCACCCCTGCAACCTCCCTTTTCCAATCCCTTTGCTTTGGTTAGGTCTTTCAACTGCAAATGTTATTATTCATTCAACCCAAAGGAAACTCTGGCCTCTGAAAAATAAAATTCCTTGTCATTGTCTGAGCACTTGCCCTGCTTCTGAGTTTGATCAATTTGAAAATTATTGAGTTTCCTGCCAATGCCATGAAGTGAGATCCTCCATTTTTTGTATGCTCATTAGTTTTCCCTTTCCAAATCAGATGTGGATTTAATTATTTTATAAAACTCAGACCATTCTTTTAAGAGAACATTCTTTGCTAATGCTGTATTTTGACAATTTAAAACATTTTTGACCTATTAAAGGTTTCTGGTATTTTGAGGATTGTTAATCTATAAGAAGCTGCACTAAAACCAAGGTCCTTTCTACAGAAGAACAATGAAGGCTAAGGCTTATTAATGGATACTGTGTTTTTTAAAAGTGTTACTATTAGAAATGACATTAAATCATTGTGTTGTCTCTCAATTCATGAACCAGCAGTGTACTTACCAGTATATTTGAAAAAGCAAGAGTGTGCAGGGATTAAATCAATCTTTCACCTTTTATCCTCTGAATATTGTAATATTACCAGCAATTTCCAAAAAAAAGAAACTCCTATCTTAGAAATGCAAATCTACTACACTGATCTGTGATATATTCTAGTTTCTTTTTACGAAGAAGAGACACTTGACTGGGATGGTTTAGTCAGGGACAATCCTGCCTTGAGCAGGGGGTTGCACTAGATGATCTTGTGAGGTCCCTTCCAATCCTACTTTCCTATGATCCTGTGATTTTTTGAATCCAGTAGGATTTCCAGTACAGTAGGTATTCACTTGGTCTAGTCTACTTAACCAACAAACTACATCAGAATATCAGCTCTTCATGGCACCTTTCCGTATTCTTTTGGGGGATAAAATGAAATAAACTTTATGCTTTAATACTGGATCACATATTCATTACATAGTTATAACATTTTGTTAAAACTGACAATGACTAATTCTTATACAGCTTTTCAATGACTAGGTTGCAAAGTGCTTTACAAGGGAGGTCAGTAGCACAATCATAAGGGCAGTATCTCATACACTAATTGGTAAATACCCCACTCCATAAGGCACTTATACATATGATTAACCTTCTACATTGAACAGTCTCATTGACTTCAGTAATACTACTTATTGTAAAATTAAGCAAGTACATACTGGTAAGTGCTTTGTTGAATCAGTTATCAGAGTGTCTTTTATTCTTACAATAGCATTTCCTAATGAGTACCATAAGCATATTTACTTTGTGAGGTGGTTCATGAAAATCATTGAATGAAATATGTATTTATGAGTACAGTATATCACACAATACAGAGTTCCAAAGCACTTTCACTTGTAAGGAACTTTCTTCAGCTGCTTTCATAAAAGCTTTCGTAAATACAAAGCTTTTACAGAGAAATGTTGTTTTAGGCTGATTCCTAACCCCCCCCCCCCCCCCCCCCCC